TGTAAAATAGTTTTTTTATATGTTGCACACCGGGTGAAAAGTCAGTCGTGTAACATCGACGGTCGCTCCTGTATATTATCAGACATCTTACGACGACCGAACCAACAGAAAAAAGTTCAGCATCACCGATAATCGATGACGCAGTCACATGATTGTCGGAGATGCTTTGTATATACCAACGTCGTACATATATACGTATGTATACGTATGTATATACATAACAACAATTGATTACTAATTTACCGTTATAGTCTTTTATCTTGCAAATAAAGACTTACAATGGAAAATGCAAAAGACCAAAACTCTATGAATGAAACGAAAAGATGCACTAGGTGCAATTGTACCAAACCATTTTCTGAATTTATTGTAGGAGAAAATGAAATCCGGGCTCGTTGCAGATCATGTTGTACAGCACAATCGAAAAAACGAAAAAGGCAAGAAATAAATGATGAAATAATTAATAAGGAAAATGCAGTTGATCTTGCAAATGTTACGGACTACATTTATAATATACTCTTAGAGCATAAAAATCTTAATGAAGACTTTGAAAGCCAAATAAAAGTTCAACTTAACTTTAATATTATATTAGATTCTATTTATGAGGAGGTTCCAGTTAATGTTATTGAAAAAGATAAAAACTTGTACATTGCTAGTTTGGTTATTAATGCAATTAGTGGTGGTGACGGCTATACATATGTACATCAATCAACATATGAAAGCAAAAAACAAGATTTTGTAGTACTTACATATTGGTGCAATGCCCGGAGTGAATTATGTAGATTTCATAAAAAAGTTGATGACATTTCAAAGCGTCGCAGTACTGAAGCATATATTAAACGCTATGATTGTAAAGGTGTAGTTACAATTAAAATTTATTTTAAAAATAATATTGTATCTATTAATATCTTTCATAGCTTTTTGCATCCACGGTCTGAAAAGTTTAATGTAACAAAGGAAATAAAGGATTTTATTAGTTCTCATGTTCAACAAAGCGTACCAGATATTTATCAGTCGATAAAAGATCAACATATAAATGGATTCGAATTTTTAACAATTTAGCAAGTATACTATTGGTGGTCAACAGTTGCACGAATGGAATATCGATCCTCTGATAATGAGCTTATTTCTACAAAAGCATATCTTCAAAAACAAGAGCAAGAAATTCTGTTTTTTAATGATTATGCTTTTGCGTTTATAACAGCATTTTTTAATATATTGCCAGTAAATAAATTAATGGAGTTTATGGTTGATGCTACATATAACACAAATAAACTCAAATATGAGTTATATGGAGCTATGGTTATTGTCGATGGTGCTGGATTTCCCATTTCTTACTTATTTGTATCAGCAGGAAAAATTGCAATATCACTAGCATTATTTCATCATGGTTTGCAGCACTAAAGGAAAGAGGATTAATAAATATACACATATTTTATACAGACAAAGATTTATCCCAAATTAATGCAGCAAGAGCTACCTGGAATAACGTAAATATACAATTATGCTTATGGCATGTCAAACGTGCAATAGAGCAAAGACTGTCATCATATACCAAAACACAAGTAATTAGATATAATTCATTTGAGGCTCACAAACAATGTTCTATAATTGATCCTTTATGGCAGCCAATTGCACTTAATGAAATAAATCAGACAAACAAGACTAAATCAAAATCTAATTGTCAATTTGCTGATAAAGAAACCCGTGCACATATAAAGCATCTTATAACAAAACATTTCAATCGGCATATGCTTATTCCCAAAGAAGACAAAACATTTATAAATGATAAGCGTATTATATGGGTCGAATGTGTTACTGAAATGTATACATATTGTTATACTAATAACCTTATAATGGTGTTGATATATATTTGAAATGAATGGTATTCACCAAAGCAATGGTGTTTATGGGCACGATCATCATTTGATGAAATTGGAACTTTGCGTACCACTATGGTAGTTGAATCTCACTGGAGATTTTTAAAAAGAAACTATCTTTACAAATTCAATCATCCTTGTTTAGACTTCTTATGTTATATTATTAAAAAAAGGTATGTATTGGCTTGTATTTATATTACATATAAAAATATATACTTAACATAAATATTTTAAATTATTATACAATTTAGGCAATTGCCCATCAAATCGATACATTTAAATTATTATGTTACGGTCGGCAACTTACTGCATGGCGAAAGGAATTTCAAAAAGAATGGAATTTATTAGCATCACGATTATGTAATCTTGACAAATCATGAATATTGGATTTGTTCATGTCTTTATTTTGCAACAAGCCGGTTTTTTATGTAAACATTTGGTAGTTCCAATCGGTCAACAGCCACATTCATTTTTTTCTAAAGTATATATAAATTTGTTATATTACTGTAATACATATAAAACTTTAATCTATTAATATTATATATTTAGGTTCGTCGCAATTCATGATATCCTTTAATCTTAATCTCATCAAATAATAATCCATGGCAAGAAATAAGAACTGCTTGCAATCTTGATAACAATAATAATACATGTTTAATTAGTAATCAGATTACCAATTCCGAAGATATTATTGAACAAAATTCTGAGGATTTACAAAATGAAAATATAGTTGAACAAAATTCTGAAGATTTACAAAATGAAAATATAGTCGAACAAAATTCTGAGGATTTACAAAATGAAAATATAGTTGAACAAAAGCATACACGATTATATCAAGTTTTAAGCGAAGTAATTTTTTTTTTTTTTTTTTTTTTTTTTTTTTTTTTTTTTTTTAAAGTGTATATTTATTAATGCCACTTATATAGGCGCAATGTATCCTTAATGAGTCAAAGACTTTTCACAATCATCAAAAGTTTCTTGATAATTTCGAAGAAAAGCTAATTCAATTAGAAAAACTTGTTGCAGATGTAGTAAAGCATGAAAGAAGACAAACATTGCCACGAACATGGAAGGATAATAATAGAAATACACAATATTGTGGTTGAAATTCAAGATATTCTGATATCAACTAGCTTCATAAATTATCACATTACAATATTTAAATTTTCATGTTTTAGAGATATTTAGAGAGAATATTGAATCGTTTCTTTTAATAAATATAAGCTTATTTTAAAAGGTTTAATTATTACGTATGCAATATTAATTAAATTTGTGCACTTTTCTAATAGTATTTTTTTGTCTTTGTTTTTTTTTTTATTAAATTTGAATTTTTGAAGCAAAAATTTTTTTGACGTTAATGTCTCGACGACCGGAAAGTCATGTGACTGCACTGTCAATTATTGGTAACGCTAGAGCTTTTACTAACAGAATGACTCGAGTTCTTTTGGTGATGATTGTGTCATCATCAAATAACGAAGTTATTTGAAGATGATACAATTATCATCAAAATAACTCGAGTTATTCTGTTGGTACGATCATAGTAAGGTGCCGGATAATATGATTTATTTTATTCTTAAGCAATATGCCACAGAAATAGTGTTGTTATCCGACTAAATCATCGACCGATTATCAACTTATAAATAATAAAATATACAAAAATATACTGCATATTTTTACAATTTCAGTTTATAATAAAAGGCCAATTTGACATAATAAATAGCTGTCAATAAAACAGGTTTTCACTTCTAACTTTTATATCTTAAAACTTAACTAGTATTCATTATTATAATAAAATTATTACTATTTTATTTTTCTTTTTTTACGGAAAAAACCTTTGAAGCAGTGCACAAAATCTACTGTAAAATACCGGAGATTCCGGTTGATTAAAAAAAATCCTGGCATGATTTTTTGATCGTTGGAAATTTTCCGTTACTTATGCAATTTCTGAATTTGTAAAATTAATAAAATAGACTATTAACTATTAATAAATATTACGTACATAATGAGCAATTTGTATATTGATATATAAATATGTTTGTATTTTATGAATTTAAATAAATTTTTTTTTCGAATTAATGGATCAAAGTGAAAGTATTCAAAATGATCAAAGTATTTATAAAAGTGAAATTTTTTTCGAAACAGATCTAAATAAACTTATTCAAAATGATCAAAGTATTTGTAGCAACTGTGAACACGATTATGAAAATGATGCAAATGATCAAAGTGATCAAGAACTGGTGTTATTTAATAATAAAAAAAAAGTTAAAGATTATAATGAAGCCTAAGCCTAGCTTCAAAAGTTCTTGGCTTAATGGGTTTAAATAGCCTCAATATGATAAAGTTTCTCAACAAATATTTTGTAAATATTGTAAACAGCACAAAAAACAAAATGTTTTTGGAAGTACAGGTAAACAAAAATGAAAATGTTTATTATTAAACTTATACTGTATAATATTTAATAGATCGAATATTTTTGTTATAGAATCTATAAATTTCGGTCACAAACTTTCTATTAAAGAACAGGCATTTTCAGATCAATATATTGATGCAATAAAACTTAATACTGCTGAAGAAACATTAGATAATGAATCAGGATAACTTATACAACAATGTACAAATTATATAATTGGATTTATGAAAATTATATATACTCCTATATAACAAGATATAGCACTAGCTAAGCTTCTATATTGTCTTGTGAATTGGAGTCTCCATTTATTGTAGATGGTTTAATTACCTATAAAAATGAAGTATCTGGCCATGAATTTGCATTTGCAATATCAAATATATTTAAGGCTAAAATATGGAAGAAATTCGTAAATCTGTATCTTTTGGAATTATGATTGACAAAAGTACAGATATTTCTACAAACAAACATATAGATATTTATATAATGTATCCAAATATTTTTGGAAATATAAAGACACATTTTTTGCAATTACTTGCACTTGAGCAAAGTGATGCAAAAATAATCACTATGAAGTTAATTAGGCTATTTCAGGATTATATTAAATACAGGTTATATTTTTATTATTAAATATATACTGTATAATATTAATTTTTTTTATATGTATATATTGATATGTAGATGTTATAGATAAGTTAGTAGCTAAGGGTTGGGATCCCGTGGCCTAATGGTCTAGGCACCCAACTCTTCACGAGCGGGTTTCAGGTTCAAGTCCTAGTAGGTACATTTACCTACGAATATTTGGAAATATCTGCCATGGGAAGTTCAAGTGAATACAGGTCTGGATTAGGAATTTCCAGAAGGAGGTCCATTGTGGAGTAGTTGGCACTATGTGTAACAGTAGTTGTTACAGAAGATTCTATTACACAAAGGTTGTGTGTGTAAATCCACGATTGGCAAGGTAGCACCAACAACCCCTAAGGCAGCATTGGGGATCTTGTTTGGGAGA